TTATGTACAAAAGCTTCAAAGAGATCACGGTCTCTGCCTTTATCCGCTGGCAAGGGATCACCAACTACTCTCAGTTTGACCGAGCCTTCCATGATGTGGACTCTATTATCTGATTCATACCTAAAGATAACTTCTTGGGGGATTTCGGAGGGATCACTAACATGTAGCATCGCTTTACAAGCTAGGGCTTCTTTTTTAGCATAATATCATCGGAGAAGGCGATAACATCTCCTATGTCCACAAGGATGTTAGAAATGAACTCCGAGTCCCAGAGATGGATAGGGAGGCCAAGAACTTCCACCCAAACATAAAAGAACTTAGGTAAAACTTTGAGGCCAACTGACTCCGACCAAGGAGAGAAAATCCCTCCGAAATTTCCCATATTGAAGAAAGGTTTGGAGCAAGCATAATCCAGAGTCTTCGCATCTGGGAACTGGATAAAATAGGAATTTTTAGATGATTGTCTGATCACATCTGTCCAGTTCTCTACCTTGAGATGGAGCTCCAAGCTCTCCACCAGCTCCGCATAAGAGGGTTTCCCGACCTTGAAATCTTGAGAGGATAGAGGCTTAGGGAAGGAGGTTGGGGGTCTCGGTCTTTTAGGCCTCCTTTTATAAGATACTGTGGTCCAACCCAAATCTGGAGTGGGGGAGGATCCCTTTAGAAAGAGGCGGAGAGATGGAAGGGGGGGAGAGAAGGCTTGGTGCCCTTCAGAATCTCGACAAAAGATGGTTTAAAGGCAGGAGCTTTGGCTTGGGGGTGATGGAGTGGAACTGAGCTTGATGGAAAGGAAGACTTTGAATGTTGAGATGCGATAGAAGGCTGAGCGAGGGTTGGAGCTGGGACCGAAGAGGAAGAGAAATGGGGAGAAATGGTGATCTTACCGCCGCTGATGGAGACCAAACGCCGCCTGGGAACTCGCGCCGCCGCCTGCACCCTATCGCCTCTCCCGTTCACCTGCTCCATCCCAAGACGATCGACAACTGTTCTTTTATTGTCTTATATTCTTCCTAAATGACCGAGAAAAGGTCAGTAGAGATCAAATTGCCTAACTTGATTATTTCAAAAATACATATCTTTAGATGGAAGTAGATACAATCTTTTCAGAGCAGCGCATTTTGCAAGGGGTTCAACTCCGTAGTTCCATTATGCGAATAATGGCTTTCAACTTGTGGAGGCTGTTTATTTGGTAAGTTTATCTCACATATTATTCATTGATAGGGGGTGAGTATGTTTTTTCTTCCCATGCTGTTTATGACCCTATGGAGATTTTTTTAGCTGTAACTAACAATGTTTTTTCAATAATCCAATTTGAAATAGGACCCAAGACCGTATGGGCCACATTGAAACCTCTCAATTGTTCGGATAGTTTGCAATGAGCGCCCGCGTGACAGTGTTTTTATGTTAAATTTGTAAGAGAATGTTTTATTTTCACTCTTTTATAAGCGAGTATAAAATAATAACTTACTTTACTTAAATGAGATATTAAGATATAAACTGATAGCTAGGCTTATCATCACAGTCACATCTAAATGTATGAATCACATCATTTTATCTGATAACTTATTTTTCCTAATAAAGTGAGAGTTCATGCCTAATAGATATGTTTATGTATTGACACCACATATAAGAAAGTTACGGGATTTAAATTCTCTCCATTAGAGGGTAATTGGAGAGGATCCAACTATCCTGATAGTTACTGCCATTCCAATTCCATTGTTAGGATATGACCACATAAAAATTTACTATTATCCAGAAAATCATTGCTAAATTGAAAACTATTTTTATGAAAGTCACTTTTGTTATAGTGAAAATCACATGTGACCTCACCTTATTCTTTTAAATAGGAATAAATGGTGACAATCGGTTTAATTATAGTGTTTTTGGATGTGGGTTAGAGGATGGAAGGGAAGGTGAAGTTTTATAAAACCTTTGTTTAGGAGTTTTTGAGGGGTTAAAAGATGGAAGGGAAGGCAAATTTTGGTAAGATTTTTCTCCCCTCCAAATTGGGCAGTAGAGGGAGTAAAGGAAACCAATGTATATTTTTACAAGACAGAGAGACAAATTTACCCTTATAATTTATTAATTGACAAAATATCTTAATAACACGTAAACATATTTATGTTATTTTATATACATTCGCTTCACTTCCCTCAAATTATTATAACTCCCAAATAAGCTGAATTAAGTTTATTTTCGTTCCCTTTAATAAACTCTCAAAATAATATTTTATCTTTTCCCTCTCTTTCACTATCTTTACTTTTCATTATTTAACTTTCCTTCATTTCCCCTAGTAAACTTCCAACCAAAGCATTAGACTCCCTCCGTTGGATACATTCCCTCTCCACTTAAAAATAAAGAAGGAAGGAAAAAAAAAAACCCAGAGAGAGCACTACTTTGTTAATAGCGTATGATTTATTAGCGAGCAACTATGGTTTGTCTTTGAGTGTAAATTAAGAACGAGTGAAATTCATGACATGTACAGTACGTGCCACGTTCAGAATATTTTAACACTACCCACTAAACAAATGAACAGCTGTCAACAAAGTAATGATCTCTTCGCTGTATTTTTGACATTGAAGAGTACTGAAATTACTCTGGATTTACCACCTAATAATTAGAGGTGATCGAAATCCGGATTTTGAGATCCTAAATTTAGAGTCACTCTCTACGCATGTTCATAAGCTGACCCAGACAACTCGCGTATTTTCACGGAAGTTCATCACGCCACGAACTGCAATTTTCTTCCTCGCGACCCGTCAAATCCGTCAACAAACTTCATCACGGGGGGGGTGGGGGCCAACGCACTACTGCGGACCCACTCCTCGTGTCTGTGGCTTTTTCGTAATTAAACATAAAACCATGCACGCATATCTCTACCCTTCCTCCATTTATAACCTCAGACTCCCGCTTATCCTCTTGCTTTGTTGAGGTCTGTCTTTACAAAGGCGGAAAAAAAAAAAAATCCCTCACCCTCCACCACGCCACGTGCCGCGCGGTCGGATCACGGCGGCGATCGCCAAAATGTACGCGGCGTGCTCTCCTGCAGCACAACGGCCATAACTCCCGCACGTGCCCGCCTCCCGTCCGTCGTTCGCGTTGTCGGGTTCGCGCGTCGGGGTTCGGCTTTGGCGGGTTCGCTGTTTGGGGTTCGATTGACCGAGGGCGTGGGATCCATGAAGAAGAGCGCGAGCATGGGCAACCTCTCGTCGTCGTCGTCGTCGTCGGCGCACTTCAACAATCCCGGGTCCCCCGGTTCGGACCCGACCCGCGATCATGACCGATCCGGATACGCTTCTGATGATCCTACTCACGCTTCGTGCTCCTCGTCGAATTGCCGCAGCGAGCGCAAGAAGGGTGAGAGATTGTTTCTTCTTCTTCTTCTTCTTCTTCTACTTTTTCTCCCCAAGCCCTAGTTTTTTTGGTAAGTTACAGATAGACCCCTCAATTATATCTTCAGTTGCACTTACACCCCTCAGTCCATGACGGAGATAATTGCTATTGGAGCTATTGACGAGGGGGATTATCTGTAATCTGCACTTCTATTTATTTTCTTAAATTAGCCCTTTCTCTCTCTCTCTCTCTCTCTCTCTCTCTCTCTCTCTCTCTCTCTCTCTCTCATATCTAAATTTCCCCTCTCTCTCTCTCTCTCTCTCTCTCTCTCTCTCTCTCTCTCTCTCTCTCTCTCTCTTTTTGGTAAATCTGCATGCTTTTCCTTGTGACGGTAATATATTAAATTCTCAACATTTTAGAACTTTGTTAGCTTACCTATTGTTTGGTGGTCTCCTCATTTCTAATGTCATTCTTCTTCTGTCAAAAATTATGGCCAAATTATTGGGGTTAATGAAGTTTTTGTTGTTATTTTTGTTTTTATCATATCACTTTATCAGATACAGATTACTTTTCATCCTTGTTTAAGAAAAATGCTTAATTATGATGTACTTAGTAGTGTTATCGCTTCACTCTGAAATTAAAAGGCTTATTATTTAATTATTTAAAGAACGAAGCTCAGCGTGTTTGCTTGCTTCATTGATGTTCCAGTTTACTGTTAGGAATGATTAGGAACAAGCCCTGCTGTTCCTGCCCTTGCCCTGAACTTGCCCATTCCTTGTTATGCTGATTTGGGTCAGCATTTGAGCTCGTACTGCTACATGTGCTTGGGTTGAGAAATGAGGTCTGCTCATTTTTGTCATCAGTAATGGTGGAGGTGTGAAGTGAAATTAGGTTTTAGGAGTTGAAACTGATAGGTGTTCTTGTTGGGGGAACTGCGCGTGTTCTGAGGATTCACAAGTTTGTCGAGAGAAGGCACACAAATCAACTAATAATAGCACAAACTCAAACACAGAAGTTTACGTGGTTCGAAAAATTACCTACGTCCACAGGACAAGAAGGGGATGAGTTTTCACTATAAAGAAAGAGTACAAAATTGAGAATACAAGATCACTCAAAAGCTCACAAATAATCTCTCAAACTAAACTCTCAAATCTCTCATAAAACTCTCAAACAAATTGCTCAGAAAGAACTTCTTTTCTGTGCTCAAAACTCTCCTTCAAGCTACCCAAAACTCAATCAATACGATCGAAAACCCTAAACAAATTGTGTTTCTATTTATATTAAATAGAAATCCCAAATAGTGCAGGAAACCGAAGCAGGCCCAGACCCAACTCGCGGTCGACCGCCGTGCCAGTCGCGGTCGACCGTACGACAGAAAATGAAAATTCATTACAGGGTCTCGCGGTTGACCGTCGCGCCAGTCGACGTGGTCGACCGTCAAAAGTCCAGAGACTTTTCCCTGTGCTGTGCACGTTTGCGGTCAACCGCCGCGCCACTCGCGGTCGACCGTAAAACTTCCAAATGCCTGTCAGCTTTATTTTTCCTGAACTCTTCAATTCTTCACCTCGGTAAAATTTTTCCAAAACTGAGCCGACACCAAACTAACCAAACGTCCCACTTGTTATGTCCAGTACGAAGTGGAAGTAATCCACGACAACTGACTCAATCAACAAGTTGAGATCCAAATAAGAATGAAATCACACTCCAAACATCAATGTCTACTCACCAAACTGGCTGCATCATAAATGATTACCTACGTATCCTCTTGCCTAAGGAATCAAGCCTTCACGTAGTTCACCCAAATGGCCCTCCAAAGACCCTCAATCAACTAGAAGAGTTCGTACCCTTCTCTAACATCTCGATCATCAACACTAATAAATCTGCGGCTGATAGCTCTTCCAATGGCTCCAAAGTGAAACGAACCAAACACCTCCACCTAAGATGAACCAATGGCCATATCCAAATCTAAACTGTGTCTACCAGCTGTACTTGAATCAAAAAACTCATCATATGCATCCACACCAATATGATCCCCAAACTGTGTCACCTCAGCTGGAATTCTAAATAATACAGAATGATCTGAAGTATGTGGAATAATCTCCACCCAATATAGAGTAGCATCACTCTCCACCCGCTACGATACCTTTACGATCTGTCCAAAACTCTTTACCTGCTGAGAGTCAATTAGCTCCCTCATCGAAGCCTCATCCAATATGACATTACCAGACCAAATATCTAGTAAAGTTTTACCTCCTATCACAACAGTTGATAACTCTTTAATAAGGTGACTTGAATATGTCGAAGCCTCAGTCTAGAAATTCTTCTGCAAACCATTGCTTGACCACAAACACCGATCATTCTCCAGTAAGGCATGGTTCTCAAACTTTGTTAACCCATCTAGTTGTCTCGAGATTTTCTTTCCAATGAAGTGTCTCAAAATACCGTGAGCTCGGCTTAAATACAGAAATAGGTTCCTCTTGTACCTCCCACCAAAATCAGAATGAAGTACCTTCACCTTTCTGTCTATCTTATACTTCTTTAATCTGTTAGAGACTACTAGGACTTTATTCAAACGAGACTTGGTTGTAACCCAAACATACTTAGAACAGTCACTAACAAAGAAAAAACCAAATATCGATTACCTCCCAACGATGCCTTCTTAGAAGGCCCCAAACATCCATGCGAACTCCATCTAAAAGACCATTAGTGTGGTGAATAGAGGTGCTAAACTTCACCTTAGTCTTTTTGCTCACATCAAAGTGTTCACTGGACTTCAAATTACAGGTCTATACATCCATTTCCATAATAAAACTGGAATGAGTAAGCCTTAAATACCGTAGTCTAGTCAAATCAACAGAAGTCATCAGCTCTCCACCTGTCACTGTATCTCCAGTTAAATAGTACAAGTTATTCCTCCTGACGCCCTTTATCAAAATACGAGAGTCTTCTACAATCTTAAGAACCATGTCCTCGATACGAACTTTAAAACCCTCTCCAACCAAAACACCAATCGAGATCAAGTTCTTCTTCAAAGAAGGAACATATCTCACACTATATAACTCCTTAATTGTCACGTCATACATCTTGATGCGAATTCTTCCTATCCTAAGGATTTGACATGCACGGTTGTCACCCATGTATACCACACCACTATACAGCTTCTCAAAACTGGTGAACCATTCTTTTTTAGGACACACATGATAGATCACACCACTATCCAACATCTACTCAGATTCCTCTGAATAGTTAACTATGGGACTGATATAAAGTGAATAAACAAATGAGTCAGAAAGATTACCATCCGATATGATGATATTTGCTTCTGATGATGGCTACTTTTCCTTTCCCTTCTGCTTGTTCTTCATCCATTCACTGAGCTTTGGATAATCTTTCTTTCAGTGATCAGTTTCTTTACACCAAGCACACTGATCTTTGTCAACTGTAGGATGCCCTACTCTAGACCGTGACTTTCCATTCTTCCGGTTTGGATTTTTTCCTCTTGCGATCAATACCTCTGCTATTGTGTTATTTGTAGACTCCTTATCTTTCTTCCTTAGTTGGTAATTCACAAGAGCAGTTGTTACCTCACTATACGAAAGGGGCGTCTTCCTATTAATTAATGTAAGAACAAAGGTCTAATATTCCTCATATGGTAAGGAACTCAACAGCAACGATGCCTTATCCTCATCCTCTATAATAACATCCAAATTTGCCAAATTCGTCAAATTCACAAGAAGCTTCGTGTAGTTGTTCATGTGATCACTAATTGAGATTCCCTTCTTCAACTGGAAACAGTAAAGTCTCATCTTCAAATGCAAGCGGTTTTCAACACTCTTGGTCAAATACTTACTTTTAAGAATCTTCTAAATCTTCTTTGTAGAAGTCTCATTTATCATATCATACTTTAGATCCCGTGTTAAACAAAACCTAATAACACAACACGCTGTTCGATTCATCTTCTTCCAAACCTTCTCTTCTATATCATCTGGTTTGCCATCAAATTCTAAAGTATCCTCTAAATTTTACGCGTTTAACGCATTCAAACCCTCACATCTCCATAATCCAAAATTGTTCGTGCCATTAAACTTTCCCATATCTATCTTCGTAAAGTGGATATTCAAATTCTGAATGGTCTTCACGTCAGAAGTATCACCCTCAACACATTCTTTTCCAAACATCTTCTACAAAACACCAACAGCCAATGCGGAACAAACTGAAGAATAGATCCAAACTGAAAAAAAGATAAATTCTTTACAAAAAAGATCCCACATTTATCTCCAATTGAAATCCTAGATGAGCTTCCAAAGCGATCTACTCTTTCACCTAACCCTAAGCGTAGCCTGAAGCTCTGATACAATTTGTTGGGGGAACTGCACGTGTTCTGAGGATTCACAAGTTTGCCGAGAGAGAAGGTACACAAATCAACTAATAATAGCACAAAACTCAAATACAAAAGTTTAACAAATTGCCTACATCCACGGGGCAATAAGGGGATGAGTTTTCACTGTAAAGAAAGAGAGTACAAAATAGAGATTACAAGATTACCCAAAAGCTCACAAATAATCTCTCAAACTAAACTCTCAAATCTCTCACAAAACCCTCAAACAAATTTCTCAGAAAGAACCTCTTTTCTGCGCTCAAAACTCTCATTCAAGCTACACCAAAACTCAATCAATACGATCGAAAACCCTAAACAAATTGTGTTTCTATTTATATTAAATAGAAATCCCAAACAGTGCAGGAAACCGAAGCAGACCAGACCCGACTAGCGGTCGATCGCCGCGCTAGTCGTGGTCGACCGTGGCCAACGACTAAAACTGAAAATTTATTACAGGGTCTCACGGTCGACCGCTGCGCCAGTCGACGTGGTCGACCGCCAAAAGTCCAAAGATTTTTCCCAATGCTGTGCACGTTTGCGGTCGACCGCCGTGCCACTCGCGATCGATCGTGAAACTTACAAATGCCTGTCAGCTTCATTTTTTTTGAACTCTTCAGTTCTGTAGGGAGCCAAGGTAATTTGACATACTTGGTCGACCGCCGCGCCAGCCGACGCGGTCGACCGCCAAAAGTCCAAAGATTTTTCCCAATGCTGTGCACGTTTGCGGTCGACCGCCGTGCCACTCGCGATCGATCGTGAAACTTACAAATGCCTGTCAGCTTCATTTTTTTTGAACTCTTCAGTTCTGTAGGGAGCCAAGGTAATTTGACATACTTAATGGTAATGGCGGCGGCATAGAAGTTGACACTACCGGAGTGATGATCTTCGGTAGTTTGGATAGGGTTTTCAGTCTCTCTTTGATCTCTACTGAAACACCTAAACAATGGATATTTTAGGCCTGACCATTTGCTTTTGACTAGCCAGGGTCAATTTCTTATGCTACTTGATTTCCGTCGCCTGTTGTTCTCCCTTTGGAACTTCTCCAAGATGTCAGCCTGTACTCTTTGATTTATACTCCTAGAGATCATCCTTAACCATTAATTTCAGGCATGATCAGCAGTCACTGGGGTTCTTAGACTTGTTTTGTATATATAAACTTGGGAATCATCATTTTTGTGTGTTAAATAGGTGGTTTTGAATTTTGCATTGGATCCTGAAATAGTTATATTATTTGGGCTGAAAATTCAATGGCTAAAGTTTGTGTATGCCTATGGTGTAAAGTTGAATGTTAAAACTCATATCAGCAATTTGAGGCAGTACACATTGTCTAGGGAGGCTATGTGTTACAAAATCACTGATTATGCTACAAGGTCTGTGAACAATACAGAATAGCAGTTAAAGCTCTTGGCTGATTTTGGTATTCTAGTAGACTGGAGTCGTATAGTAGTTGCATTGTGGCTTATGTCCACAAATTTCATATTTTGATGTTCACTAGTAGACTGGAGTCGTATAGTAGTTGCATTGTGGCTTATGTCCACAAATTTCATATTTTGATGTTCACCGCGGGAGTGAGAGGTGTATGTTAAGATATGAGGAACTAGGCAGTGTGCACCATGTCAATTTAACTATGAGCAGTATGATGATGATGATACTTTGTTGTCTTTAATTCTGGAGCATAAAAACCAAAGCAAATACTTAAGAAAATGGATGATAGTTGTGATGGCATGTTTCTTGGATTATCCTCTTTTAACATATTGGTTTGTTTCCTGTTCTTACTTTTTTACTTCAAGTACTAAACATAATTTTCTTCTTGTGAATATTCTAGTCACTAGTACTTTGATTCCATCTTTTTTAGTGAATTCATGAAAATGATCTGTTTTCCATGAGACTTTCAGATGTAGCTTAATGCTTCTAAACTAAACGGTTTCAAAACCGTTTTCCCCACGATTTAGGGAGCTGTTTAAGAGGGGGCGGTTATACCCCACTCAGCCCATTAAGGAGCAAATTAAGGGGGTAGTTACCACCCTTAATCCCCTATAAATAGTGGGAAACTCAACTGAGTTCGGACCCTTCTTTTTTTGGTGGGGGGGGGGAGCAAAGAAGAGATCTTCGGCTAGCTTTGGATCGGATTCTCTCTCATCAACAAAGGGATTTTCGGTCAAGTATTGGTTTGTTTCCTGTTCTTACTTTTTTACTTCAAGTACTAAACATAATTTTCTTCTTGTGAATATTGTAGTCACTAGTACTTTGATTCCATCTTTTTTAGTGAATTGATGTTTTTATTCTTTTGTGGGTGGCTAGATGTTTTTCAGTATAGCCTTCTCCATCTTTTGTGTTGAGGAAGGAGGTATCCACAATCAAGGATGCCCCTCATGGGACACAAATGACTACGTTCAATTGAAATGTCTTGTCAAGCAAAAGCAGGGAATAAATATGGCCTGCTTTATTATGTTTATTAGTGTATTGTTCACACTGTGTGCCCACGACCTAAACTAAAGAGTTGAGGGTCCAGACTGAATGCTAATGGTTGTATGAATGCCGGAGAGCAATTCGTTCTTGTATGAATATAAAAGAGGAAGCACAATTCATACTTGTAAGGATAAAGATTGCTGAAAGTTAGTAGAACTGGGATATATACACTTGCATAAGCAGTGGGCCTGACTAGAAAGCTGGGAATGGTTGTTCAAAGAAGAGTATGAATGTGGCAAAAGAAAGTGGTTTAAAGTCTAGGTTTACCATGTGCAATAGTCTTATCGTTGCAATCGCGTACATCTTGGTTCTGGCATCTAGGTTTATTATGTGCGTTAGTCATACTGTTACATTTTCATTGATCTTATTTCTATGTCAAGTTACATATTGGAGCATTCGTTTAAAAGCTTCATTGGAGCATTCGTTTTGATGTTTATTGCAAAATATTATTTATGTATCATAATTTTGTAATGAGAGAAAGGAAGGGGAGCGATATTTCATGCTTTCTTGACTCAAAACACTTTGATACAATGCCTTGTTCCTCTATCTTTTCTAACAAAGATACACGTTTTTAAACGTTGAATCATTTGAATCTTTACATTCTTGAACCATTCCAGTGTCCTAGACTTCTATCTAATGCTCAACTTTGTTTCCTGTTCACGTTTGTTTTGAATAGGAACCCCATGGACGGAAGAAGAGCACAGGATGTTCTTACTTGGTCTACAGAAGCTTGGAAAAGGAGACTGGCGTGGCATAGCTCGTAATTTTGTTGTCTCTAGGACACCTACACAAGTTGCCAGCCATGCTCAAAAGTACTTTATCAGGCAGACTAATGCATCGAGGAGGAAGAGGCGCTCAAGCTTGTTCGACATGGTGCCTGAAATGGTATATACATCTCCTCTCAAAATTCTTCAACTTTAGGGTACGTTCCACAAAACTGCCTCGAATTACAGAGAGTTTTGCATAAAACTGCATAAACGTTTTCTATTAGGGAAAACGACCATATGTTTGGGAAGAAACATAAGATGCCATCACAAAACACCATGAACTTTTAAAAGTACAAAAAAAATACCATTAAGTATCGGAAATGTTGCTAAGAACATTGAGGTCTTCGATAAAAGGTTTGCACTATTCTTATTTATATCTATAATGTGCAAAGTTCGGAAGTGTAATATAGATGAGATATAAAAGTACGTAAGGGCAGAAGTGTAGCTGCTGTCGGGCGTGATAGTTTAGTGAAAGAAGTTCATCATAGTAGACTTTATGACAGCTTTGTGCAAAACATCCCAAAATTCACGGTAATTTCGTGAGATTTACCCTATCCTTTTATGCTACGACATATTCATTCTAATTATCTATTGTTTTCTCACTTGGTTTACAGCAAATGGACCAACTCCAAGTTCTTGACGAAAAGCAACACATGCTCAGATCTCCTACTGATCCCGATACCACCAACCACCTGCAATCTCTACATCTTCTACAGGATCAAGAAACGGAACCAGCAGAAAAATCCTCGATCACCCTCCCTCCAGAAATCAAAGAAACCGTCACATACAGCAACATCCCTCTACCACCGGGCCACACATTCTACCCTACTGCATTCATACCCATGCCTTACCCGTTCTGGCCACCGACACCAGCTCCCCAAAAGGCCGAAACCACAACCGAGACCCATGAAGTCCTTAAACCAACACCCATACTCCCTAAGGAATCCAAGAACGTCGATGAAGTCGTGGGAATGTCGAAGCTGAGCATAGGCGAGGGGACGGGTAGTCGAATGGAGCCATCTGCGCTTTCTCTTAAGTTAATGGATTCATCTGCCGACAGTGGCCGGAGCTGATTTGAGCCCGAGTAACAGTAGTCCTATTCATGCGGTATGAATCTGGGTCTGATAATTGGTCCTTGGTATAGATATTCTTTTTTGTTATGACTTTGTTGTTTTTTAATTTGTTGGTAGTTTATGGAACATCTCGTTTGGCTGATTAGATTTAGAATGAGGGATGCTGTATCTTGTTGTTGTTAATAGTGGACATAATTTGGTTTTGTTATAAATAAGTCTGAAGTTCTGCAAGCATTTGGTATCAAAACAGTAAGTGTAGAATAACAAATAATTTGGTTGGTATAAGCTATGGAGGTTTATCCTTGCTGGTGAATTTCTGTGTCATGCATCGAAGTACACATAATAAACATAGTAACAATAAGCCTAGGATAAAAAACAATGTTGGAAGCTATGATGGTTTTAGATTTAAGTTCTTCTGCTGCAGGTACACTAGGGATTATGGCAGGAAGTGAGATTGTATTATCGTCACATCCGTATTGTCGCTATGTTTACTATGTGTATTTTGATTCATTTGATTATCAAATATTTGTTAATTTCTTCATCTAATATCTAATCCTTTTTTGTCTATACTAGTTTTTCAGTTAATTTTTATGCTTATTTTGACCCACTCGTGACTTGTCTCATTATCTCAGTCTCTGTCAACTGAGTTTGGCAAACTTTAAGACCAAGGATTAATTACGATCCAGTATCCTTAGAATTAATGTAATCTTAGAATTAATGTAATTACACAAGTAACTTGGAGTCTATGTATCTACATGGTTTACTAATTATAAGGATGACCCTGAAGTCCAAATGACAAGCAACTCCTATGGTTATCTATGTAACAACAATTTGTAACTTTTGGGTTATCCATATAGATACACAAACTCTAAGATTAATTGTGTACTTGCACCACAACTCAGGGTATCAGACTGTAATTTGATCCTCTGTTTGGTTCGCTAAAAAAACATGGAAAATAAAGAAAAGGAAACATATTTTTCATAACTGGATGTTTTCTTGTGTTTGGTTCACTTCATAGAAATAAAAAAGAGATGAGTTGAGATGAGTTGTCACCATATTATTGGATGACGTGAATGATTTTTAAAGAAAACTTATTTTGAGGTTTTTTTCTTGTATTTGATTAGCTAAAAAAAAAAAATAAGGAAAAAGACTTATAAGGAAAAGACTTTCCTTGTTTAGGTTCTTTTCTTGTGTTTGGTTGATTCTTAAAACTAAGAAAATAGATGAGATGATATGAGTTGTCATTATATTATTGGATGATGTGACCCACACTTAAGGAAATCAATTTCCTTGGTTTTTTTAAGGAAATGGATGGAAGAAATTTTTTAATGAGATGAGATGAGGTGTCACCATATTATTGGATGATGTGAGTAATTTTTAAAGATGATAGTAGATGAAATGAGATGAGGTGAGGTGAGTTAGATGAGTTGATTGATGTGACTCATTTCTTGTGTTTAATTTATTTTTAAAAATAAGAAATGAGATGAGATGAGATGAGTTGTTACCATATTATTGATTGATGTGAGAGATTTCTAAGTGTGGAAAATGATGGAAACCAAAATTTATTGATTTCCATACTTTTTTTCCTTCTCTTTGTTTTTAGGAAATGAACCAAACAGAAGATGAAAGAAAATTGGAAAATAGAGAAAGACCGTCATAATAACACCATCAGTGTGATACATAATGACTACAATCTACAATCATGATAAAGAGAGGTACAAGTGAAATAAAACAACCTCTTTTGAATAATGAAATTTTTATCAGAGGATAAGAATGAGCCTGGACTCTGTTGCTAGTAATCGCTTTTCATCTTCCTCTGATTACTGTAACCAAACGACAATAAAAGATCCAAAACAATGCTGAAGAAATATTAAAAAAAAGGAAAAATCTAATTGATACCACTTGGGGAACGAGACCTAGTCATTAATTGTCAATTCTCTACAAGATAGATTAACAATTCATTATCCCTCATAAAAGAACAAACACATTGATATGTTTGAATAAGGTTTATGTCAGAAAGTTGATGTGAGAATTGAGTGGGGGTTAATGAAAGATTAGGGGTTCTTAATCTCCTCTATTGACCGATCAGGTTGGGAAATGCTGGTCATGTACAAACAATAAACGTTAGAGGCCCTAAAGGAGATTTCCTCCGATGTGCCCTCCGACACTCAGTTAATGGCAGGTGGAATATATAGGAAGAAAACTGTAAGATTAAACTCATGATTATTACGGTATAACACTAGCCCTTTTCACTCGGACCCGAAGCCGAGTTCGAGAGAAATCGAATCGTTTTGTCTCCATTGTCCTTTGGAATTGAATCGTCTTGAGTAAGCACTACTGTCAGTGAAGGTTATGTGCCAAGGTTTTTCTAAGAGGACGCTTCAGTTGATGAGGGTGATAGAGTAGTCTTCAGGATGCAAACTCATCGATTCGGATCTGGCCACTTGTTGAGCATCATAGGCGGGTTAGCATCTATAAAACATCTTCGCCCCTTTTCCTCTTTCCTTTGCGCTCTCTGAATTTCAAACCCTAGAAATCTCTACTCCTAAAACCTTTGGTGTTCCGACCTTTCTTCAGCTTTCTCTGATGAGTTCCGTCTTGCAATCATCTCTGGTTCGCAACGAGGCGCCGACTTTGTTTCTTTGTAAATACACCTTGATAGTCTTCTTGATGATATTAGAAACTGCGCGAGGGATTATGACATCCCCAATTCTTTTACTCTGTCTCTCGCTTCATCTGGGTGTCTTGTTTATAATCATGGGAGCCATGAGGTGCCGATGTACCGACATCATCTTGACTATGGTCTTTGCCTACCTCTGCATCCTTTTCTCACAACAATATTTCAAGCCAACTCGATGGTTTTCTTGACTGCTTTCCTGGTCATCTACCACTGAGTTGACGTCAAGTTAGCCCTTAGGATTTTGCGTCTATGCATCAAAGCCAGTGTGAGTGAGGAGCATTTCTATCTTCAGCCAACTAGTAGATTTTGGTTGGTCTTGAATATTGTAGAGGCTAACAAAAAAAAATGGAATGAGAAATTTTTCTTTGTTATTGGCACCGATCCAATCTTGGCTTGCTCTTCGTGGTCAGAGATCCATAAGGATGTTTTGAAGGTTGAGCCTCTCTTCGAAGCGGAAAAGCAAGGTTTGGAGAAGATCCGAGGCTACAAGGGATCTCATTGAAGCGAGAACCTCTTTGAACCTCTTTGATAACGTCGTGCTTTGGTTTGCTGACATATCTCATGTGAAGGTCATGAAGGACCTAGCTCGTGCCGTGTTTTTAGTGGTAGAGGTGCAATCGGAGGAGACCCCTCATGCTGGCCTCTCCTTGGGACGGAAATGCATTCACTCCAAATTGGCGAAGGAGGAGTTTAAGTGCCTTCTTTTCTCGAGATGAGAGGCCTAAGAGGAGGAAGAAGAAGAAAACTGTTAATAGGGGATGCCATATTACTAAAAATGGTTCATCGGTGGTGACCCTTGCTGACCCTAGTATCGAAGAGCGTGAACATGGGTTGGAGCCGGTAGGTGAGCAGCGACACTTCAGGGATTCTCTAGTCTACTGATGTCATCGATTTGAGCAATGTATCTCTGCCACCCACTGTTGAACGGTGGAGATGGCTAAGGAGGTTCTTTTGACCGCTTCAACATTTGTGAGGGACGAACCATCTACTGAGGGCATCGCTGTCATCTTAGTTGAAAGCAGTGAGGTTTTCGTGTCATCAAGGAGGCTAGGAAAAGAGCTGGTGGTGGAGGAAGAGCCAACAGTGAAAAAGGAGCTGGAAAAGGGACAGGAGCCCGCTACCAAATCTGCTGAGGAGGAGGCTCTCATAGGGGTCAGTTTGAGTGACCTTTCGCTCATTGTCTTGACAAGATCCCTACCTTGACTGGGAGAGGGATGAAGTTGATTCTTATTAGGTCGTCCAAGATCGGGCCCCACAAAGAAAGGGACCCATCAAATGAGTTTGCTTTTATGCCGAGCTATTAGCTTAACTCCAGAGGATCGATCTTGGAGTCTTGGTCCAACCAGGCCTATGCAATGGAGTTGATTTATCTTTCTTGTGACCGAGCTTTACTATATGGCTTGCCTAATCAGGGACTACATCACATCTCGCGAAGTTACCATATGTGGGATTTGCCCGTGGAGACCGAGCTTTTTGACAGGCTTGAGTCGTATCATGAGATCCTCAATAAGCTCCGAGAGGAGATGATAGCCCATGGGGTACTTGTGAATCGATTGAGCCTTTTGCTACCCTAAGGACCGAGGAGCTGACCCGACTCAAGAGAGAATGCAAGCAGCTGGACCGTGAATTGAAGTGACGCACTGATGAGGCTAAGGCTACCACCAAGGGTTCTCGCTATTGTAGTGCATTCCCGGACCAAGCCCAAAAGGAGATAGTAGAGATGACAGGGAAGATCAAGGCCCTAAAGTGGGAGCTAGACCACGCCTACCATGAGTTAGAATTTGCTTGTGCACAGATCAAGTATCTAGAGAAGGAGGTTTGAGCTGAGAAGAATGAATGCGCTTGAGAGGCTCGGCTTTAGGTAGAGAACTTGAGGACAATATTGAATGAGGAGAGAGTCTATCAAGATGCTCTTCATCAAGACACCACCCAAGCTGCTTAGAGAATTAAGGAACAATACAACTCCCTTCTCGAGCGACTTCGAGACCTCAAGGGTTAGTTGGCACTTGGGGATTAATAGTCCCTTAGGATAAGGCAATGGAGAAGTACCCTAATGGCCCTCTCAGGAAGCTTGAGGTTGTTGTTGCTTGCAAAGTGTGTTTTGATCATTTGATGACCTAGCTTCTTCCTAAACTTAGGAGACCCGACCACTTTGAGTATCCCAAAAAAGTGTTAGTTTGCTTGACCCTCATCAAAGATATTGAGCTGGATGAAGAAACTAACAGTGACGAGGGGTCGAGCGAGAGCTTAATGATGGTAAGATAAAATCATGCAAAAATTGTAAGTGCACAACTATCAAGTATAATATTTAAGATATTGAGCCCACAAGAAATGTGTGTGTTTAAAAATTCTAAATTTGGTGCTAGAAAAATATGGATAAAAAGGATTGAGAATGAAAGTGTAGAGATGTAGAGATGAATTTGTCACAAAAATAAAAAAACTAAAACAAGAGGGAAGAAAAAAAATAAAGAGGAAACAAATAAAAAGAAGTGGAAACAAAGAGAAAAAAAATAACAAGAAGTGAAAATAAGAAAATAGAAAGAAGTAGGAA